GCGCAGTGTGGCAGTTACTGCGGCGCAGTGTGGCAGTTACTGGGGCGCAGTGTGGCAGTTACTGTAGCGCAGTGTGGCAGTTACTGCGGCGCAGTGTGGCAGTTACTGCAGCGCAGTGTGGCAGTTACTGCGGCGCAGTGCGGCAGTTACTGTGGCGCAGTGTGGCAGTTTGTATATCAATCATTGCTTAACTTCCGGCTTAGCCGCACAACGCTTCAGTATTAACATAAAATATTTGCCACATACAGTGTGATGAACGTGTGGAAGTGTAGATCGTTGTGCAGTGGAAGGCTGTTACAATGTTACAGTTTGGCTACAGTGTCGAAAGTTGAGCTGCATTATTAGAAAATAAATATATACTGACGTATAGAAATATTTGTAGTGCAACAATGACCGCGCTAAGGTCGTGTCGAGAGAGGATCCTTATCCTCTATGATGAAAAATATCTTCACCGAAGGGGCATTATTGCCTCTCCAGGAAAAAATTCCGAGAACGGAATTATTCCCTTTGCATGAAAGCGTTCCGAGGGCAGTATTATTCCCTCTACTTAAAACATTCCGAGGGCAGCATTATTCCATCTACGTAAAATATTCCCGGGGCAGCATTATTATGTCAAGCACGTCTCCATCATTTTAGTGCAAAGGGCTCTTCCATACTGAAAGTCTCCATAAGTGGGACTCAGACTTAGCCCTCAGCTTGTCAGCTTTGATCTTCACGAGGACCATAAGGAGGCCAAGCCTCTACACCAGCTGCTCTCCACTGACCGAGGGAAGAGGGTCCAGAAAGAGGGAACCCAAGGGAGAGGATAAGGAAGGGAGAAGAAGGGCAGGTGGCGACTGAGAGGTGACCGTCGGGACACTGAAGAAGGACCAAAGGAGGAAGGGGCGCCGAAATGGGACCGAGAGGCGACCGATGGACAAACGGAGGAGGATGAGGGAATAGCGGAGGAGTTCAGAGGGATTCGAGAAGGCCTAGAAGTGAGAGTGAAGGACGAAAGAGGGACCGAAATGGGGGAGTGCGGGCAAGTAAGGGACCGCAGTGGGAGCGAGAGGGAGGAGGGACCGCAGTGAGAGCGTGAAGGCAAGTAAGGGACCGCAGTGGGAGTGTGGGGGCAAGTAAGGGACCGCATTGGTAGCGAGAGGGAGGAGGGACCGAAGTGGGAGCGAGGGACCGGTGATGGACCGAAATGGGGGTGTGGGTGCGACGCCTGTTAGGTTGAATGTTGAACTTCAAGCCTGAGTTACAAAAGCGATATTAAATAATATATATAGGTTGTATATAATTGGTGAAATGGGGTGTTTAATGGTTCAAGGTGGAAATTTTGGTAATTTTTATTGATAAAACTATGAATAAAATACTTTGTTACAGAACACAATAATTTTTACGTTTCTATTAAAGTGCTGCGACGTACTTCAGGTGGAGATAGCTGAGGATAAGCCAAGAAAACATTTCAGTTAGTGAAGAGCGAACGAAAGTTCAATAAGCGAAATAAAGAGCAGAGTAGCAACTGATTGAAATACCAATCCATATTCCAGCGTACCATTAGACTGGTATAACGGTGCAATAGTGTACCGTTATAACGGATAGATGACCTATAGGATAACACTATTTAGGACAACAGTGTAGCGAATTAGCGTAAAAGATGGTGATAGCTGAGAGCTGCGGAGTGCGTTGCAGCCGCGTGATGCTGCTGCTGTATAATACAGTCTTCTGTGTGAGTATACAGCTGTGTGCTGCTGTATAATACAGTCTTCTGTGTGAGTGTACAGCTGTGTGCTGCTGTATAATACAGTCTTCTGTGTGAGTGTACAGCTGTGTGCTGCTGTATAATACAGTCTTCTGTGTGAGTGTACAGCTGTGTGCTGCTGTATAATACAGTCTTCTGTGTGAGTATACAGCTGTGTGCTGCTGCATACAGTGTGTGTTGACCAAGTTATGTTTGGTATAGCATGACTAAGTTATGCGTGGCCGCATGACTAAGTTATGTTTGGCAGCATGAACAAGTTATACTTGCTTATATGGTTACTAACTTGAAGTTGAGAGCGACTCAGTTTGAAGCTAACCAGTCAACTAAGTTGCCAACTTATTTTGAACTAACCTGTGACTGCCTTGTTAGCTAACTTGATAACTAGCTTTTTAATTAACTTATTCAATTACGAGCGGTTAATACTCTCAAAAGAATGAATGGGTCAAAATAGTGACACACCTTCTGTATGTAGCCCCGGTACATTATTTTGCTGGGCAAAACTGGGTCAGGATGACACACATGGGCAAGAAGGGCATCGATATTTGAACAAAGTCTCCAAAATTTTTATGAGTGTAATTTTTTAATTTCCATATTCCCACTGCAGTTGGTGGGCTTGACGGTGGGCTGTGTGGGCTTGTGGAGTCTTTCAGGCCAGGGCTGGAACATCCTGCAAGCCCTTGTCCCTCCAGCCCACTCAGTTATGAGTGGGCCTCAGTCAGCCCACCCACTCAAGCAGCCCACTTCATGGACGCCCACTCCTGTCTCTTATACACATCTAGATGTGTATAAGAGACAGGTGTGGCAGTTACTGTGGCGCAGTGTGGCAGTTACTGCGGCGCAGTGTGGCAGTTACTGCGGCGCAGTGTGGCAGTTACTGCGGCGCAGTGTGGCAGTTACTGCGGCGCAGTGTGGCAGTTACTGCAGCGCAGTGTGGCAGTTACTGCAGCGCAGTGTGGCAGTTACTGC